CTCGGTCCCAGACACTTAGCGGTGGTCCACGGCCGATGTGTCTCTACAAACAGTACCCCTATCCGCGTCGTAAGAATCCCTCCACCAACGTGACTTGGGTATGGGACCCGGTACTTCAGACTTTTCTCACGTTCACAATTTAGTACGGGTGTTGCTTCCCCATGTCGTGAGTCTTTTACTCAGTGTCTTCTTTTTCAAATCCCCTCCCTTCCCACATCCCTTCGGACTGACGTTGTTTACGATTTGAAACGTTTTAATAATGTCCCCCGGGTTAGAGTTGTTGGTCCCAAGTTGCTATTTTACTTCGCTTTTATACCCGGTCCGAGAGGGAGGTGCCGTACAGATGACTACCTGTCGGGGGAATGTGTGGTCAGCACGTTAGGGAGGACCACAACGCATATTCCTTTCGGTCTCCTTTACCCCCTTGTGGACCAATCGGTGTTTCTTGCCTACGACGCTTTGAAAAATTTCGCTCTCCCACCCCCAACCTTTTCCGGAATAGGGACACATCGCGTGGGCCGTACAGTGTCACTGTCCGGGACGAGGTCTCTTTACGGTCGTACCTGCCATGAGTCTTGTTACGGTCTACTCGACAGGAGTTGGACACTATACGCCGCGCGCGACGGTTTTTGCCATAGAAACACCGCCTTTTCGTCCAAAGCTCCCGTCGGGACGGTTCATACGCGGGTAGAGGTGGAAAATTACTGCCGACGGAAGACGGTAAGACCGACCGACATACCTCTTCCAACACCGGAGGTCCTCGTTCGACAATGGCAGTCGCGCGTTACTCCTGTTTCGACTAAACGACTCTTTAAAGTTTTCGACCCGGTAATGTAGACGACAACTTTTAAATACTCGCGTTCCTCCAGATTCTCGGTGTCGTTTTTTCGCACTTTTCTGCTAGTCGTCTCTACGTCCTGCCCGCCAATGAATACTCGTGCGTACCTGCACCAAACAAATCCACCGTCACGACGTCACGGCACACAATGACACAGGAGACACACACCACAATGACACCAAAACGAAGTAGTCCAAGCCTCCCC